ACCGGCCGCTAGTGCGTGTAGGACCTGTACTCTCTCGCTGTGACTACTAGGTGTCTTCAAATTTGCTCTTTTTTCCGCACTAATTTGATTGTGACGTCTGGTCACGTCGGACCAGTTTTGTAAAATACTTGATTATCGATCCGACGCTGGAGGACAGAGTTGAACTCGACGGATCGTAACCCCCTATCACTGAGGACGTCGTGGGAGGAACGAACGAGGTACGCGTTGAGGACGGCGTGGGATTTTTTTTTTCCTTGAGTCAGTTTGGCTCCCCAAAACCCTGCTTCCACCACCAGTTGGAAGCATCTTTTACGAACAGACGATAACCCGTGGCGGGGTGAGTACATCACTCTACGTGTGTTGTTGAGGAACGACACTATTTCCTCGCCGCGGCTGCACCAGCGCATTGCTCTTGGCAAAGCTGCTGGTGCACAGCGAGTAGGCGTAGGGTTTCTCCCCACTGAGGACGCGGAAGTGCATCGCCAGGTCGGAGCATTTGCGGAAGCTTTTGGCGCGAACCCTGCACGACAAGACTTTGTCGGCGTGGATCTTCTCATGCCACTTGAGGCTCAACTTGGAGAGGCAGCGCTTCCCACATTCCGTACACACCAAGCCGCCATCCACGACGTTGGAATGGGGCCAATCATCGATGAGGGGCGGGTCGGGCGAGGCATTGCGGGGACACGGGGTGCCGTCCAAGACTCCGTCGTACGGCTCGCCATCGTCGCCGAGCAGCCACTCGACTTGGACTTCATCTCGTTGCTCGCGCTTCACGCTGACGGCGCTGACGTCAGCCTTCTCATCGTGCTGCTCTTCCTCTTTCCTGTGGGAGGGCTCCTCCTCCTCTTCCCCCTCTTCTTTGACGACCCTGAAATAGAGAAATTCAAATCAACATCACAAGAAGCAAGAAATATTCCCATCATCCACTTTTTTTTTTTTTAGGCCTGCAGCTATGGAATATTTTCAGTGTGGACGGACAAGTACTCAGACAGACTCAAGCATTTCAGACTTCTTTCAAGGTGTATCATGAAGGCTGCCAATACAAGCCAGAGATACTCAAAGGGGGACTCGAGTGAAAACTTTTCTTTGCAATATTTTACATGTGCCCCCACCAAGATTGTTATAGTCAACAAAAACTACTGAACAAGAAGAAAAAATAGAAATGTAATTGAGTCGAAAAAAAAACTAGAGTAAAAGTGAAAAAGCAAGGTTTTGCTGATTCTTTTCTCTTGCTTTGGTTTTGTGTAGTTTCTCATAGTCTACTACCATTTCATGCACTGAAACACGAGCTAACAGCCACTTAGCGTGATTAATTGTCACTGACGGCCACCCCGTTTTACTTCAAATCTCGAGGCCGTTGGTGCATTTTCGCTCTTATTTTTCCCCCGTGTCACAGAAACACGATCACTGGTTTGCAGTTGAAAAGATGCCGAAGGTGTCCGACATCAGTTGACGACGCATCGAACTGCACTCGCCATCGTCGCCGAGCAGCCACTCGACTTGGACTTCATCTCGTTGCTCGCGCTTCACGCTGACGGCGCTGACGTCAGCCTTCTCATCGTGCTGCTCTTCCTCTTTCCTGTGGGAGGGCTCCTCCTCCTCTTCCCCCTCTTCTTTGACGACCCTGAAATAGAGAAATTCAAATCAACATCACAAGAAGCAAGAAATATTCCCATCATCCACTTTTTTTTTTTTTTAGGCCTGCAGCTATGGAATATTTTCAGTGTGGACGGACAAGTACTCAGACAGACTCAAGCATTTCAGACTTCTTTCAAGGTGTATCATGAAGGCTGCCAATACAAGCCAGAGATACTCAAAGGGGGACTCGAGTGAAAACTTTTCTTTGCAATATTTTACATGTGCCCCCACCAAGATTGTTATAGTCAACAAAAACTACTGAACAAGAAGAAAAAATAGAAATGTAATTGAGTCGAAAAAAAAACTAGAGTAAAAGTGAAAAAGCAAGGTTTTGCTGATTCTTTTCTCTTGCTTTGGTTTTGTGTAGTTTCTCATAGTCTACTACCATTTCATGCACTGAAACACGAGCTAACAGCCACTTAGCGTGATTAATTGTCACTGACGGCCACCCCGTTTTACTTCAAATCTCGAGGCCGTTGGTGCATTTTCGCTCTTATTTTTCCCCCGTGTCACAGAAACACGATCACTGGTTTGCAGTTGAAAAGATGCCGAAGGTGTCCGACATCAGTTGACGACGCATCGAACTGCAGCGCAAAAAAAAACAAACGCGACAGACCTTTACTCGTCACCTTTTTTTTTCACTATGCGAACATGCCGAGGAAATATACCGATTCTCGTATTTGGAGAGCAGACGACAGATTGCAGAAACGGTTAGCAGCGGCGACTAACACGACGTCCACTAGCTTGAGCTCAACAACTACAACAAGGAAGTTTGTTTGTAAACAAGGAGCACCGACCGTTGTCTGAAGGTTGCAGACACTCCCCTTCTCGACTCGTCACAACTTCCGCCAACATTGCCCACAACTACACGCGTTCCGTGCTTCACTCAACATCCGGGAACACCTTTCAAAATAGGCGGTGCCATCGTGACACGAAATGACGTTTCATACCAGGTTGAATTAAAAGCGATCTTCACAACTTTTATTGAAAAAAATTGTGAACACACCGTGTGTGTCGGCTACAATACAAAATTAACATGAAATACAATTATTGACTCCAACGGTATGTTATGCACATCCTTTAACTAATTGAAAACATACTATAAATTAATTACCTTAAACTTAAATTTGTACGTTTTTTAGCCTTTAAAATCAGGTCTGAGTACTACTGACATTGTATATTTATTAAACTTTCTAACCTTGCTCTTTGCCTTTGTGTATACCATGAAAGAAATAAACCAGACAGAAAATACAGTCATAACAAACAATCCTGAAACTTGTGCAATAGCATTGCTTCATATTTATCGAGGTACACTAGCACCATCTAGTGGATGAAAACCTAAACAGTTTTACAAAGCAGCAAATCATAAAAACCGTGAAATAAAGTGACATTAATTGAACACTCAAACATTAAACACGAACCATGTTCCCTTCCCAACCAGGTTAAAGAATCGTTCAGTTTTATTCATCACCTTTAGTTTTGTCTGTTTTTACCGTCAAGTGCGCTTCTTTTCTGCACATCGGAGTCGGCGCTTCCTCTGAGAGCCCGACAGTGATTTACGTCAGAGGTTAATGATTTACGACACCTTCCTTTCCTCCACCCTTCAAAATAACTATACAATGCCAAAAGTTGTAGTCATTTACACTCCCACAAAATCATTCTAATTCACCTGGTGACGAACGAATAACGATTTCACAATGAAGAAATTACCTGTAACGTTTAACGTATATGACTTAGTCCGTATGAATCAACCTTAAACTGTAATAACTGTGTTGAATGATGACTGATTTCTCTTTCCTTTTTACTGTTTTACTTACCTTACTTTCTGTCAAATTATTACTGTATATGTTTTATGTTCAATAAACAAACGAAACGAAAAAAAGGGTCTCCAGGCGCAGAACCACTGTCTGCACCGGATGCTCCACGACAGATGATTTTCTAGAACATCGTCCCTTCTCAATCTTTTTATCTCCAAAATGAATCTTCGCGTTCCTCACAAGTCCATCTTGGGTTGTAACCGTGTTCATTACACGTGCTAATCTCCACCTTCTCCATTAAAACATCTCCCAATTTTCAAGTTTCTCTTGGGAGTGTCCAATTTCTGTCTTGTTGCGATGATCGATACATATTCGAGACCAAAATACTGTAGTTCAGAAAACTACTGCACTCTTTTGCGTGTATATATGTCATCTCTGGACGCTCGTAACTCAAAGCACTCAAATACCCAATTAATCCAATGAAATATTGTTCATCATTGTTCAACCCTCAAAACCAACAGGTTTTTTTAAAATATATTTTTCATTGATTTCTCTCTGCTCCTCGTCTAAAGGTTCTCATTTTGTTAGGCCGTTAACGGATAGGCCGTGTCTGAGAACATATCTATATGGGCGTGATGTTTGTATCGAAACCAATTGGACGTCTACGCTGAGCCACAAATGCCCATTCGACAATTTACACGCAGAATCATGATAAATGCACACACAACACACAAAAAAAAAAAAACGTGAGGAAATCGCTATTTGTCCTAGGCATCACGGTCCACGAGTAGAAAGTTTTTTTATTTGTACATTGTCCACCAGGTACTGCTGTTGTCAAGGTTCTTCCTCAACAAGCGCACTCAATCAGTTCAGTGACGTAGATTCCTGCATCATGTCATATGGAGGTGTATGGTCACACCGTTGAATTAAAGTAAAGCATAAAACATGGTCAAATTGCACAATGCAATATTGTAGAAACGTACACTCGGTGTTTTGTATTACAGTATGTAGAATGTTTTGTGTAGGTTACTGTAGTAGATTGTAAAATGGAGGAGTCCTTTAGAGTGGCCCAATCTGCACCCCGACCATTGGCCAAAATGAAGCCTCAATCTGTGGGCGTGGTCAATCTGACGCGCGCCCTCGTCTTCCTTGACGGGCGTGTCCCCGCGTCTCTCCAACCTTGTGAAAGAAGATGGCGAAGACGTTGGCGGTCCTCCCCGTTCGCTCCCCAAGCGCGTACCTTTTTCTCCTCCTCCGCCCTCTCCCCGCGGGGACACCGCCTCCATCTCCGCTGGGCGCCCACTAGACGCCGCCGGCCGCCCGCCCGCCGTAGGCCGCAGGGCGACTCTGGGGCACCGACAGCCGGGGAGAGAAGACAGAAAGAACACCGCCAGCCACCCCATCCCCGGCCCTTCCAGTGCGCGCGTGCGTTCCCGCTTGGACTCGCTCTTGTTATTAATATTATTTTTGGAAGTTTTGGATCGATTGAGTCAAGATGGAGAGCATGGAGAGGGAGTGCAGCGCGCTGGGGGGACTCTTCCAGAACGTCATAGCGGACTTGAAGGTTCGCGCACACACTCGTCGATTCTCATCATCATCATCATCATCATCATCATCGTCGTCGTTGTAATCAGGTGACGTCACAGGTGTCAAATCAGAAGAATTTGCCACACCCTCGTGCTGCCTCAGCCACAGGTGTTGCAAATGGCTCCCATGATGCATATCGGAACTATGCAGATCAAAATGCTCATTCCTGACTCCTTGATCATGACAAAAGATATTTGTAGTGGAACACTCCTGATCTCTGCAAAATCTAGAGTGATAAGAACGATAATCAGGATTTGGACTTGGCTTTTCTGAGCCGAAGTGGACGTGTTCAAATGTCTTCCACAACTTTACAAGGGTGACATTTTCCTCCATGAAAACAAGAAACCAGTTGATTTTGTTTAGCTTGCTTCCCTGATATTGATTGGCGACCACTCCATTGTTTGTATGTGCCTTGATGTTGACTGGCGACCAGTTCATTGTTTGGAAATGGCGTAATTGTGAAAATATTTCTGACTTTCAAATTCTATTTTTTTTTTCTTCACGAGGCTACCATTGCATTATTACAATTTCAATATTACTATTTCCTAATCAAATCACACTGTTATTATTTATGGGGGAAACAATGGTTATTTTCATTGTTCGAATAAGGATTATTGTTTTGGCTGCGAGAAAGCGACCGACAGGCTAAGCCTTGTCTCTTTTTTGAGGTTGGGTTCTAACCCATGTACGCACCTCCCTTGTTGCCATGGAAACACTGAGTTGATTGGCTGGCTTCTGTTCCTTCATCCCAATTGCCCCTGTTGTATGACATCTTTGGCCCATTCTGTTGAATATGAGCAACAACAACACCAATTGGAAACCAGCAGCCCTGGATGGATTCCTCATGGGACTTCAGACGGCTGCTGTTGCCACGGCGACAATTTATGTCCTGGCTGGTTGATGGATGTGGCGGCAGCCCTGCCCTCCCAACTGCCGGCATGCCAACAAAGACAGAGCGTGCAAATTGAATTCCATTCGCGAGGAGGGCGGCTCGAATAACGGCAGTGGCGTGAAAGCTAGACCAACAAACGGCAACCCTCAAAAAATACAAATTGGAAGTAGAACAACACTCCCCGAAACCCCACCGCACATCATTTCCTCTTGCCACTCTGCAGTGTTGCCATGGCGACGGTCGTCCATGCAGCTCAGCGCAGCTGGAGATGAAGAAGAGGGATGCGGGGGGGTGAAAAAGCTGTCAGACCACATGCCAACATTACACTTGAAAAGAGATACCATCTACAGACGGACAAAAGTATTGAGACGGAGCCTTCAGTCAATCCATCAGTCAATCAATCAATGAGAAGTTGGACTAGAATGAATCTTCACAGGACATCCAAGGAGACGTTTGTCCGGTTTGCCCCATATTTGGGTGAAAATTTGATGGTTTGGGCTACAAGGCCTGAATGGTGATTCTTCATCTCATGAAAGTTGGCCAGGAAAATATTTTTGATAGCCACCCATGTCATCATCATCATCATCATTATCATCATCTTGTTGTTGTGTTTGCTGTGTAGGGCAGTTATCCGGTGTGGGAAGACTTCGTCAGCAAGGCCAGCAAACTGCAGTCGCAGCTCAGGTAACCTTTCAGCATCTTCTATGTCCGTGGAGGCGGGGCCTCGGGTCACATGACTGGATTGGGGTCAGACTCCAAAGGGCGACTTTGCCACTTTTACTAAAATAATGCTTGGATTGGATGGCATAATAAGTGACTCCAGAATGGGGGAAGTGCGACCACAACCGAGGACACGCTGCATGTCTTCATGTCCCGTCGTCTGACCTCTTTGCAAAGATAACAAACGTCGCTTTGTTTCAAATATTTGTTCCCGGCAGTCTCCATCAACCGGCCAGTACGTGGGGACTGATTAAGATTGTAGGACTTAATGATGATTGACTTTCTTTTAGCGTGGACTGCACTTTTCCCTCAAGTAACTCGGGACTTGCTTGAGGAAGTCATTTCCGGGGGCCAGGGGGGGCAAAGCCGCATGAGTGGAAAGTTAGCAGTTGGCGGCGCGTGTGTGTGCTTGTGCTGTGTGGCAGGGCGACGGTGGTGGCGGTGGCGGCCTTCCTAGACGCCTTCCAGAAGGTGGCCGACATGGCGTCCGGCAGTCGAGGTAGTACCACATTTCTCATTTTGGCTCCATAAATTTGTTCCTACCACTTTCTCGTCTTTGTCTACTGACTCTTGCCTATTGGTGCCAAGGAGCTACGTGAGAGTGAGTTGAGGAGTTTCATTTGGCTCTAAGTGGTGCTTTGAATGCCCTATTGCGTCATCTTGACGGAAGAAAACCGTGGAGGGTTTCTTGTTGATCGATGTAGTGCATCGCCACCATCTTGTGGCCTAAGGTGACCTATCCAGCATTTGTTGATATGTGATCAACCATTGCATGGCGACCAGTCTGTTGATTGTCTATGGTCGCTGCTCAAAGTCAGGATTCGGTACCTGGATGGATACCAGATGACCTGATTTGGACTGATGCTCCTCGCACACTCATTTGGAAAATTCCAAGTCTGTATGAATGCCAAGTGCATTTCCATTGCCTCCTTTTGAAATGAAATAATCTGACAGTCATTTCTTAAGGGTGATGTGGGACTCCATTAAAAAAATGTCACGAGGTAGATGCGTACGATATCACTCATCGCAATTGATTACATCTCACTCTTTGACACAGCAAGCAAGAAAAAGACACATAATTGAAGGTTAAACAACAACAACAACATTCTGTTTAGATGTATTCTTTATCATCCGCAAAGAGCCACTCGGTGCCGTACCGATGAGCTGAGAGGAGTGGAGATTTCTCAATCGAGAGCATATCCGTCTTTCTGTCTTATTCCTTCTGCCATCTAGTGGAAGAGCATTCCATCGTTCTGCTTGGCATTGGATGTTGTCGGCATCGATAGATGAGCAAAAATAACCATTTGTTTCAAGACGTCCTCATTTTCAGCCCAAATAAATGAATTTGGAGCATTTGCTACAATCTTCGTGCTATCCGCCAACACACTCAGCTGTTCATGACATTGGGCTGTTATGTAATTTTGTGATGGTGATCTCACTTTGAGATGACGCAGATGACGTCTGGCGATGATGTGGACCAAAACTTGATTTGCCATTGCCAGGAAATAAGTAGCTCCTCAGTGGTCAAAACTGCACACCCCAAAAAAACTGAGTGCAAGACATCAAGAGTTGCTGGAACGTTTGAGTGCAAACTAAGAAAAGGAGGAGGAAGCTGGGGATGTGTGTGTGTGTGTGGGGGGGTCATTGGTGCAATGCAGCAGCATCACGGCCGCACCCTGACACCAGCGCTCACTCCAAAAAAAAAAAATCATCAGCAAATTACAACCCTTTATGTCATCGTTTCATTGAAGGAATTGACCTCCGCCTATCATTTTGTCTTTGTCATTTGGGAATCAAATGGCAAGTTTTCTTCACTTTCATCATCATTTTTCACCAAATTACGTGTTTAAACAAAGACAAAAATTGGACAATAGTTACACCCGCTCAATCGCATGGATTATGTGCCAGATGACCCCGCAATAAGCGAAATCCACAGCACAGATATATTTTAAAACCTACTTGATAACAAAATATTGTACGACGTTAAGTATATTGATCCACCTCTGCCTTGACAATAAACAAGCTTCTCATCTGGCGCTTTCTGTCGGCGTCAAAAGCGGGATTATATAGGATTTGACATTTCGTCATCTTCAGCAAAAATGATGCTGGGCTGCAATACTTGCCACTTTCATTCGTCTTCTTTCAAATGTAAAATAGTGTGCCACCATCTAGTGGTCCACAGTGGACTTGCATACAAAATAAACTGGGCAGCAGAACAAAAAGTTTCTCGGGTGCACCAAGAAATCCACAAAATAACAGGATCGCACCCCCCCCCCCAAACTAGGACGGAAGGGCATTTCACTGTTTTTGAAATAGATTCAGAATTCAGAACACTCCCAAAGAGCTGCACCTCACCTCCATAAGCTCAGGGGTGGAAAAAATAAAGTAATGAAGCTACCAGCTTGTTCATGCTTGAAAAGAAGACTGATTTTTGCAACGCGGTTGCCAGGGGCGACGAGGGACATTGGCTCAGCGCTCACCAGGATGTGCATGAGGCATCGCAGCATCGAGGCCAAACTCAGACAGTTCTCCACGTACGTACGTACGCGCGCATGCGCGAGTGTGTTGGACAGGTGTGGATGGCAGCCCCCTCTCAATCTTCCATCCTGTTGGCTTCATCTGACCTGGTTACATTATTTGATTTAATATTATATTGTGTGTGTGTGTGTGTGTGTGTGTGTGTGTGTGTGTGTGTGTGCAGGTTGTTTGTGGATTGCCTGATCAACCCCCTCCAGGAGCAGATGGAGGAGTGGAAGAGAGTCGCCAACACTCTGGACAAGGACCATGCCAAAGGTACACAGACGCACAGGCCCAGCAATAACCTGCTGCATGTCCTGCATTCATTTCGTGTGTGTGTGTGAATTGGGGCAGAGTACAAGAAAGCCCGTCAGGAGATCAAGAAGCGCTCTTCGGACACGCTGAAGCTGCAGAAGAAAGCCAAGAAAGGTGCGCTCAAAGCTGCCAGCTATCCCATGCCAATCCATGTTTTTGCTGACTGAGGTTTTGCTCATGCCTTGTTTGTGGCGCCGGCCCGATTTGCGACTCGCTCTTCAGCTGACGTCTTTGGTAAGCAGTCGTCGACCCGCTGACCACTCCATTCTTAGTCGCCCGCTCAGCGTTTGTCCTTCCGGGTGCAGGGCGCGGAGACATCCGGCCGCAGTTGGACAACGCCAAGCAGGAAGTGAGCGACAAGTACCTCCTGCTGGAGGAGGCCGAGAAGCAGGCGCTGCGGAGGGCCCTGGTGGAGGAGAGGAGCCGCTTTTGCTGCGTGGTGGCCATGCTCAGGCCTGTCGTGGTCAGCCACAAACCGTACACCCCACGCAAACGTCAACGCGCGCGCGTCTGACTGTTTGTGGCATGCGTGTGTGTGTGTGTGTCAGGAGGAGGAGATGTCCATGCTTGGCGAGATCAGTCACCTTCAGACGCTGACGGACGACCTGAAGACGTTGACCATGGACCCTCACAAGCTGCCAGCCTCCAGTGAACAAGCACGTCCTTTCTTCCTCATTTTTTCCTCGTCCTCCCCCTTCTACATCTTCTTCTTCCTCCCTCCCAGGTGATTGTGGACCTGAAGGCGTCCGAATGCTCCTGGTCCTATCAGACTCCGCCCTCATCTCCAAGCACCACCGTGTCCAGGAAGTCCAGCATGTGCAGGTTGGTTTCGCTGGGGCGCAACCAAACCGAGCCCCGATCGTTGTCCGCTGCCCGCTTGCTAACGGCTGACGGGCGGCTCTTTTCTCTCCGCAGCAGCCTGAACAGCGTGACCAGTAGCGACTCTCGCTCCAGCGGCTCACACTGCCACTCTCCCGCCTCGCATTTCCGCTACCGTGCCTCGTCCTCGTCGGCCCTCCCTCAGCGGGCGCCGGCTCGCCTCTCCTCGGTGTCCTCCCACGACTCTGGCTTCATCTCACAGGACGCCCCCCAGTCTAAGTCGCCCTCGCCCATGCCTCCGGACCCCTTGCAGGTGCGTCCATGCGTGCCGGTTAGACTTGCACTACGAGGGATGACACGTCATCATAATTTAGCCTTTCTGATTCCACCACAAACGTTTTGAGGCGACGGTTGCATGCGTGCATTCTTGTTTTCACCTTTAGTTGTCCAATGGTTTTGAGCGTCACGCCCCCTCCCCTCTTGCTTCAACAAGACCGCCGCCTCCACACGCCATACTTTCCCTCCTCGTGCTCCTCCGCCACCACCACCTCAACCGCGTCCCCGCCGTCCTCTTGGTCGCTCTCGCCCATAAGCTTTTCTCGTTTAACCGACTGCTGATCTGTGATCTCGTTGTGCCGAGTCCCGTTCCGGAAGGTCCTTTTGTTCTCCGCTTGTCCCTCATGGCTGTCTCATTGACTTCAGCGTGTGTGTCACTGTAATCGGCAAGAGTCGGATGGAGGCTACCGGACTCTTCTTGGTACTTGAAAGGCTTATATACCATATTGGCCCGAATATAAGACGGCCCTGATTATAAGACGACCCCCTCTTTTTCAAGACTCAAGTTTGAAAAAAGACTTTTTGAACACCAAATTAATTTTTATACAGAAAATAATTACAGTACACCTGAAACAAATAATTCTAACAATATATTTGAGAGAAAAAGCATGTTATTTTGCCTCATTCAAATCTAAAGTGCAGTCACATTCGTAAATGAATAGCTTCTGGTTTTTGAAATGTAAATTACATCATAACTTCTCCTCAGCTGCCGGTTAACCTGGCCGATCTTCGACCCACTTTTCTCCAGATTGTCACTACGTTTCTCCATTTTTTGTTATCTCTTCTATTATTTTCTTCTCTTTTCTTTCATACCGCTATTTTTAATTTTTCTTCTTTGTGCTACCGCTATTTTTATTTTTATTCTTCGTGGCAGGGGTTCACTTTGGCCTGGGGAGTCAAGTTCAGCATTTGCTTCGATGATATCTGGCGCCATCTAGCGTCGTGAATGGGTATAATGTCTAGACCCCGAATATAAGACGACCCCCACTTTTTCAGTCTTATTTCAATGCAAAAAACACCGTCTTATATTCGGGCCAATACGGTAGTATTTTTCAGTGTAGATTTCTGTCCCTTTATTTCTCTGTCGGGTATCGCGGGTGGGGGGGATTAGGTTCAGAACTGAGGAAGCTTTTGGCATTCAAGTTGAAATGTCTTCAGCAAGCAAGAAGAGTCTACTCTCCTCCTCCTACTTTTTGCAGATTGATTCCCTTGTTAGCTTAGCAACATGCTAACAACTCAACACCATGCATTGCGTCCTAACATTGCCAGGACTGGGTCAAGCCCTTATTCAACGCCCCGAGGAGGGTGAAGGAGAGGAGGGAGACGATTGAACCTCCAAAGGAGGAATTGCACGTAGGCAAAGGAAGCCCCCCTGTGACCTCCTCCAAGGTTTTTCATTCACGTCGGCAGAATTAGGATGAGCTTCGGCAAACTCTTTCATTCTTCCGTGTTTGGTTTGCGCGCAGGACGACAGAGAGGCCCACGTGGAGCTGGCTAAGGCGCTGGCCCACAGTCTCCACTTGGACTTTCATGGCTCCAGCAGGGACTCGCTGCATGGATCCAGCGGCTACAGCAGTCAAACCAACACACCATGTTGCTCGGAGGATGCTGGCCCCACGCAAGGTGGGCGGGCACCCCAGTGGGGTGAGGTTTGAAGCTGCTAGGTCGAGCCTTTGTGGAAGTTGGGTTACGGAGGCTCGGGTGGGGAAGGTTTGCTTTGATGGAGTTCGATGTAGTGGGTTTAGCATGCCAAGTAGGATTTAGTGGTCAATAGATGGCGCTGGCTGGCGCACAGCCCCACTGCTGATGTTGGTCACATTATTTTCTTGAAAGACAAAAAATGAAATAAAAATATTCATAAACTATGTTGATAATGTAAGGCTACCTACATTTTTTTGATAAGCATGATAAATAAGGTTCGGTTAACTGAAGCCGGGCGGCCTCGTAGTTAGCACGTTGACTTCACAGTGCAGAGATACCAGGTTCAATTCCAGCTCCGGCCTTCCTGTGTGGAGTTTGCATGTTCTCCCCTTGCTTGTGTCGGTTTTCTGCGGGTACTCCGGTTTCCTCCCACATTCCAAAAACATGCATGGCAGGCTGATTGAACACTCTTCATTGTCCTTAGGTGTGAGTGTGAGTGTGGATGGATGCTTGTCTATGTGTGCCCTGCGATTGGCTGGCAACCGCTTCAGGGTGACCCCGCCTACTCCCCGAAGACAGCTGGGATAGGCTCCAGCACCCTCCGCGACCCTAGTGAGGATGAAGCGGTTCGGAAAATTAATGAGTTAACTGAAGCCAGGCCAGGGTACAGGAGTTATTGTGGACTTGGGCGGAGTTAGTATATATCGTGATTTATCGCCCAATGTCTGTTCCCTTCAGACTGCGACTTCTTCTCCATGGGAGCGGATCACGAAGGCGATGACGTGAACATTTCGCCCGGCGCCTCGCAGCCCAGCGACCCCTCTCGGTCCTGCCGCCCATGGTTTGGGTCCAAGCGGCCCCCGTCTGCCCGCGTGGCCCCCAGCCCGTCTACAGTGGTCCCGCCAGGGGTGGCCACCATTCGCCGGACGCCGTCCTCCAAACCCAACCTGCGACGCCCGTCGGCAGGCCTCCCTTTGGGCCCAATCCCCATCAAGCCACCCACGGTGCCGGTCAAGACGCCCACCGTGCCGGACCACCACGGCTTCCCCGGGGCGAGGACTTCCAAAGACGGGCGCACCCCACAGACCCCCGTGAGCCCACCAAGCACGCTTCTCTCACCAGGGAGCAGCGGAACCTTTTCGCCTCGCTTGGATCCTGGCCAGCTTCTGGAGGAGACAGAACACGGGGACGGCGTGGGCGACTTCCTGGCGGCCATCCGGCGCGGCGTCCATCTGAAGAGGACAACCACCAATGACCGATCGGCACCCAGGATCCACTGAGCCGAACATTTCGTGGCTGCGCTTTCCGACTTTATGAAGCAACGCAAACAAAAGTTTCCCCAATGCTGCAACAAAACGGACAATGTGAGTCACGCATTTTTCCATTTGGGAGGGTCCCGCTTCGCCCTTTAAGAGCCAACTTTCCTGGCGGACATTTTTTTTTTTCAGGATGCGCCAAACGTTGAGTGGCATGTGACTCAGTGTCATTCTATGACTTTTAGGATGTCTTTTCTTTTGCACGCTCTCCGCTTCAAGTGCCAAAACATGCTCCAGTATCCCATTTACGTATTGTGCTTTCACTCAGCCGTCAAGACAAACGTTGAGGACGGGACGCTGGAGTTTGCCTTTTGTAAAGTGAAATTGTTTTGGCATGTTGTTGCTCTTTTTACCCCCGCCGAGGAGGCCGTGTTGCCGATGTCTACGAAGAGCTAGTTCGATCTCGCTGCGCTTTGCTTCCTGTACGATTCGTAACTCGATAACCGATGATTGTGTTTTTACAGCTTTTTCTTTCGAGGCGTACAGAGGTCAAGTCAGGTGGGGTTTAATATTTATTATTTTCTACACTGACATGTTGTGGATACATTGAAGTGTGTGGGTGTGTGTGGGTGTTTGTGTAGTAATATATATACATATATTTGACTAATGGGCTAAATTTAACGATGTTAGAGTGTTATGGTAATAGACACGCTCGTATTGCACCATCAGGAGGGGAGAAGGAAGCTCGAAGAAAACTGGAGGATATTCCATCCGCTCTGCACACAATGGAAGCGAATGATAAGTTAGGCGAGTCGGTGAGTGTCATGAATCACCAGTGAAACGCGGGATCGCCTTGTACGTGTCAACTGTTTCCGGCCAGTCCAAACTGAAGTGCGACATGGCCCGGAAAGCGTCACTGAGCTTGTTGAGTGTCTGATAGTTTCCATTTGTGTCGGCCACCCATACGGACTCTGTTTCTGCTGTCAAGTCAATGCCATGTATTTGTTCCCGTGTTTTCCGATGTAATGTTCTTCACAGTCAGATGTCCTGTCGGAAACATTTCCTGGCCGGTGTTGTCCCTCCAACCGCATTCACTTGTTCGGACAGGACCGAACCATGTTTGGTCGCGGCGTTTTCTGACACGTCAGCGTGAAAACTGTTTGATGGGCTGTATAACCTGCAGGCTTTGTCCGTCATGCGGCGGATGTGCTGAGCAGATGAAGCTAAATGTGACGAGCCTCCAGATCTCATCGCAGCTTCGGAGAGTTCAGTCGAGAAAAAAATAATAATAATAATGTTTGTCTGGTCAACTGTGTTTGTGGTTGCTGCTTGTCCTCACTCACTGCGTGTCTGTGCAGATTGTCAGTCATTCAGGTTTTATTCATCTGCAAAAGTTTAACAGAGGCGACTGGGCTCTTTGCCTTTGATCCAAACATTTTGTTGTTTTGCTCATATTGGTGGCAAAACGGCTCCTTTGTGGCCCCTTTTTCCAACGTGCAGTAGCGAGACGGTGTCAGGACATTGTTGAAAGCAGATGATCAATCTCCTACTCGCCATTTGCAAAACCAACTCTTTGTTTAGTTTGGTGCCATCTTACAGCATCTTGGTGCCGAGGAACCATGTTGTTGTGCACTGAAGAGCTTCATTTAGACAAAAGTAGTGCTTTGCCACCATCCTGCGGTATCTATGGGTGATTCCAAACGTTTTCAGGGGGCGTGTCAATTATCCACGGATTTTCGCAATAAACGGGGAATACCATAATGGCGTAAACCTTCTCGTCCGTTTCGAGACGGTCTTTCTTGTCCAATTAGGCAGCAGTCATCTCTGTCCAGAATTTGTACCTGATAGTCCGCAAAGAAATGTCCTTTCCTCTTTCGAAGACGCAGGTTGCCAGCGATTCCTGGACCCCAAGGAGAATGCCCCCTCCTATCGGACTAATAGGTAGAATCCGCAGGCCAGCATCAGCCCGACGGCCAAGACCACGGTGGGATTGTTGATTTGGTCGCAGGCATGGCAAAGTCGTGTCCACGCAGGCGATGGCTCCACCAGCCGGTCCACCTTCTCTGAGATGGCGCGCATGCGCGCGCAGATGTCACGCAGGCTTTGGCGCAGCTCATCCAGGTCCATCTGGGTCTGCCGCTTGATCTCCAGAATCATCTGGTAGAGCGTTATGTTGACCTGCTGGCCATTCCTCGTTACCTCGAACATCTCGCGGCGGAAGGCCTCGATGTCCGCCGGGCAGGCATCCATCCTCCGGAGGCAGCGCTATGTGTGCTCGTGGCAGGAGGAGGGCCCGAGGGAGGCGGGGCCCAAATGTGCCAACCCAGCTCTCGAATTCCTCCATTCGACAGCATGACAAAGGACAGCTCACCTCTCGTGCATCATGTGACCAAAGACCATTCAGGTGATGAGCAGCTGTGTGATGTCATATTAAGGGCAGGCTATGGGAAGACGGTCGTTGCCATAAAACTTAGCCTCATTTGGCTCGTGGGGAGCCAGAGTGTCTCCAAGCTGACCTTGTTCGAAAGAGGATCAACACCTCAATTATGACACTCGGTGATTGAGAACTGAACCTGAATGGAAGTGAGGCAAGTAAATAATGATATCACCGGTGACGATTCATCGAATTCAATCCGGCAGTTTTCCACATATTGCTTGGCATCATTGGGTTCTCAGCTGATCTTGAATGAGAGACAGGATAGAGCCTGCCTGTCTTATGTAATTGTGCTTTGAGGCTAACAATGTACAAAAACAGCAAGTAGGTGAGTTTTCACAGCATAATGGAAGATAGGTTCCCCCAAAAGATCTGGGAATCATTCATTGTGACAAATTTCTCCCCTAAAATCTGCAACAAAGCTGAAATGGGCAATGTTGCTAGTAGACTGATGCAAGCGTCGAAAAAGCGCAAATTGATGAGTTTCTCAATGAGGATGGGTTGCAAAAAAACATTTGAGAATCACCAATTCTGAATAGAGTACCCCTAAAAAATGGTCATTGTGAAAATGTCAAAAAATAAATACTTTGGAAAATTGGCAGTTCATGTAATGACTTAGAAGCAATCAAATAGGCGAGTTTTTCGGTATTTAATGGAAGATAATCTCCAAAATAAAAATCTGAATTGTGAATATGTCCCCTTACTCCCCAAAAAATCCAAACAAAATGAACAAGGGAATGATGGCACACCGCATATGACATGTACTCATTGGTTATAAAAGTTTTTGATCACATTGCATTTGTGCACTTGTTTCAGATTTTCAGAGTGATTCCAGTTGGACAGAATATTCAGACTTTTGGGACCTTTAGTCGAATATCGCACTATATTCCTGCAGTTAATTTTTCCCCACAGCAGAACGAGAAGGTGAATTTTGGTGGTTCTTTGCTTCGTCGTTGGGCGGGGCGCAGCGTCTCACACTGGAGTGCAGTCGCGTACTTTGCACCAACGAAGGAGATGCAGCAGGGAAAAGTTCAAGTGGCCCAACATGGCGGCCGCGGCTCGTAGCTGCCAAACCAAGCGGTGCCTGAGCTAAGCCCGGCCGAAGACGACAGCCTGTCAGCGGGCGACTTCCATGCCTGTCCCCGCTTCACGGACGCGCCGGTACCCCCCCGGAGCCTCTGGCATTGTTATCTGCGAGCACGAAGCCGCATGGCGTCCTCGCAAGGACGGCTAGGCCAGCAGGCCTTGGCGGTGCTCGATGTGGCTCTGCGGGTCCCCTGCATCTTCATTATCGACGCCATCTTCAACTCGTATTACGAGCCCGGTCCGGGTTGGGCCGGTACCGCCGGGAGCGCTTTGTTCCGAGTCGTGGGTAAGTCCGACAGACAGCAAGTGGCACGCACGCGCGTCCAGTAGCGACCAGCAGCCGGGCTAACGTTAGCCAGACGCGCAGCTCCGTCACCTGTCAGTCACACGCCAGCCCGACAAGTTGACAGCAACGGCAGCTAACTTGTTCGCAAGACGACGCACTCGTCTTCTTTGGAATGCCAATTGCGTCCTTTAACCATTCTCGTTTGAGACAACGCAAATGTGGTCGGCCACATCCGCCGCGTGTTGTCAAAGTTTGACACCAGTCTCGTTTCAGGATGCGCGACCGTGACAGGCTCTGATTGCCCCTGTGCAAGGTGTAAACTGAAGCAAGTTTGCAAGGCAGTCGTGATACAGATGACATACACACAAAGACTATCGGGCTGTCCCGATTTTAGCCTTCCCGACCAAGGATGCCAAATGCCAAATTATTTGGTGCTTTTGAACTTTGCCCGGCCGTTTGGGGCTAAAATCATAAACGGGATTCAAAATTCAAATCTCTAGGGTGAAGGGGAAGCTGACGACTTCCCGAGTCATGATGACTTCGTGAATCGTGACGTGACAGAAATGTAGCCAATCAAAGAAGCGCCTTGATTGGCAAACAAGGAAGCGGCCGCAAAAGAAAAACAAAGAGGTGCTTCCGGTATTCTTTTGTCTGTATAAAAGTGGGTACTCCACGTTGCAAGAAAGTAAAGAACTAAACCTTTTTTTTTTTTTTTTTGTGGTCACGTAAGATTTTTGCCGTGAAGAACTTTATTCCCAGCTAGGGAGAACAAAGTCTCTTGGTTAGCAGTCCTTTGCTGCCATCTCGTGTCAAACATGTAAAAAAAGAAAAATTACTGCACTCGACAAAAACAAAACAAAATAAAAAAAGCCGCTCACACTTCGGGCTGGGGAAAAAGGCAACTAAATTGGATACGTTAGCCACAAAAATGTTTGCCCTGAAGCTTCTCCGACACCATGTAAAGACAATGGCAGCGTGCAGACACTTTAGTACGTTTTCCAACTCACATGACGTTCAGTCTTTTACCTCGTTTTGTTGGTCGAAACTTGATACTGCAATCAAATAGATCAGTCAGATTTTCCGGTCAGTCCAAATCCATCCGATATTGCTAATCTAAGATGAATGAATAATCAACAGGCAAATCGTTTCTTAAAACATTAAATGGTGCCCTTTTAACAAAATGCAACATGGAACGTTTAATTTGGTGATTCTTTAATGTACCATAAGGAGCTCACGGGGCATGTTTCACTGATTTTCAGTCCAGTGAGGTAAAACTTGGATAATGGCCACGTTGTGGTCGTGAATCACTCATGTTGACCTTGCATCCCAGACCTTTCTCTCACGAGTTGTTTGGGGAAGTTGTGACAAATGTCCGGTCTTTCCCAGGCGTGCTCGTCTCCAGTGTGGTGCTGCTGCTGTCGCAGAAAGCCTTGTTCAAGTTCTACACCCTCTTCCTAGCCGTGGTCCTGGGCGCGGCGGCCGTGCTGGTCAACTATCACGCGACCTCACACACGGACTTCTCCAGCGCCCGCTACAAAGTGGCGTTGGGCTGGCGAAACGGCCCCACACTCTGGCTGGGCCTGGCCACTGTGCAGCTGGCATTTGGCGTGGCCTACGTTTTCCTCTTGGGCCTGCGGTCGTCGCTGGCCGCCCTGGTTGTCCTAGACGTCATGGTGCCTGTGTGGGGGCTCATGATGGAGCTGCCCCCGGACGTGCGGCGACTGGTCGCCGCGTTCTCGGGCGCTGCCCTGGCCCTCAACACGGCCGCCTGCCTGGCCGCGCGGCTCAAGTGGTTCTACTACTCGTGCCGCTACGTCTACCTGCTGGTGCGACACATGTACCGAATGTACGGCCTGCAGCTGCTGCTCAAGGACACCTGGAAGAGAATCCGCTTCCCAGACGTGCTGCGCGTCTTCTGGCTGACCCGCGTCACAGCCCAGGCGCTCATCCTGATCTATGTCATGCAGGCGGTGCGACGGGAGAGCGGCGACGCCACGGGCGGCTATCCTGACCGCAACTCAGACACGCAGGTAAAAGCTGCACAGTGGCGTTCGAGTCCAGTTCTGCTCATGGGTGTTGACCACAGTCACTCTACTTGACTCCAGTCACACTTGCTAACTAATTTTAGGACTCTGGATTTACCGTTTTGGCCCGAATATAAGACGGCCCTGATTATAAGACGACCCCCTCTTTTTCAAGACTCAAGTTTGAAAAAAGACTTTCTGAACACCAAATTAATTTTCTTACAGAAAATAATTACAGTACATCTGAAACAAAATGATTATAACAATATATTTGAGAGAAAAAGCATGTTATTTGGCCTCATTCAAATCTTAATATCTTAACATTTAAGTATGTAAACTAAAGTGCAATCACATTCGTAAATGAATGGCTTCTGGTTTTTTAAATGTAAATTACATCATAAGTTCTCAGCTGCCGGTTAACCTGGCCGATCTTTGACACACTTTTCTCCAGATTGTCGCTATGTTTCTCCATTTTCTGTTATCTCTTCTATTATTTTCTTCTCTTTCTCATCGCTATTTTGTATTTTTCTTCTTCGTGCTACTGCTATTTTTATTCTTCGTGACAGGGGTTTGCTTTGTCCTGGGGAGTCAAGTTCAGCATTCGCTTCGATGATATCTAGCGCCATGCAGCGTCGTGAATGGGTATAATGTCTAGACCCCAAATATAAGACGACCCCCACTTTTTCAGTCTTATTTCAATGCAAAAAACACCGTCTTATATTTGGGCCAATAAGGTACTTCGGATTTGGCGTTCAAACCTTGAGACGTACACTTCTTGCTCCCATTGATGGAAGCCTTGTGTCACCCTCACCCGTCAGGGTTACCTTCTGAGCTGGGATGTGTTGTGGGACGTGACGAGCAACCTGATCATCTCCGGCTGTGACTCCACGCTCACCGTCCTGGGCATGAGCGCTGTCATCTCGTCAGTGGCGCACTACCTGGGCCTCAGCATCCTCACCTTCATTGGTGCGTATCAGTGAGCTTTTGCACCCCTAGAAAATGTTCCCCGGTCATTGAACGACGGGCGCCGCCGTGTCTCGTTCAGGTTCGACGGAGGAGGAGGATAAACGTTTGGGCTTCGTGGCTCCGGTGCTGTTCTTCATCCTGGCTCTGCAGACCGGACTCAGCGGCCTGGACCCCGAGGAACGCCTGGTAGGACACAAGAACTCGTCGGCTCATGTCAAGGTGCAGCTGGTTTGGTTAGATCAGTCATCCATAAGCTTTCTGGAGCCTTCTTGTTTGCTCTTTGTGGCAGTCTTGCTTTTTCGTGGACAGCCCCACAATGTTTTGTGGTTCAGTGAAAAATCAGACAGTACTGTATTGGCCCGAATAAGACGGTGTTTTTTGCATTGAAATAAGACTGAAAAATTGGGGGTCGCCTTATATTCGGGGTCTAGACATTATACCCATTCACAACGCTAGATGGCGCCAGATATCATTGAAGCGAATGCTGAACTTGACTCCCCACGCCAAAGTGAACCCCTGCCACGAAGAAAAAAAATAAAAATAGCGGTAGCACGAAGAAGAAAAATAAAAAATAGTGGTAAGAAGGAAAAGAGAAGAAAATGATAAAAGAGATAACAGAAAATGGAGAAACGTAGTGGCAATCTGGAGAAAAGTGGGTCGAAGATCGACCAGGTTAACCGGCAGCTGAGGAGAAGTTATGATGTAATTTACATTTCAAAAACCAGAAGCCATTCAGTTATGGATGTGATTGCACTTTAGATTTGAATGAGGCAAAATAACATGCTTTTTCTCTCAAATATATTGTTAGAATCATTTGTTTCAGATGTACTGTAATTATTTTCTGTATAAAAATTCATTTGGTGTTCAAAAAGTCTTTTTTCAAACTTGAGTCTTGAAAAAGAGGGGGTCGTCTTATAATCAGGGCCGTCTTATATTTGGGCCAATACGGTACATTATATTGCATGTGGTGCCGCAAAACCTGCGACACATTTGCCGTTTTTCCTTTGCAGCAAAATGAGTGATCAAGTACATGTTGTTGTCCCTTCATGCCACCGTATGTGGCTGGCAAAACTAAATGATGATAGGCTGCGTGTACCCAGTAAACTGGGACTGAGCCACAACAGATGCTCCTCGCTGTACAAATAGTTATACAGTCGCAATTTTATTATTGTGTTCACATATTGAGCCCGATGTTGTTATTATCATTGTTTGTCAGTGCTTCATGAAGCTTCATCTCATCATCACTACCCTGCCGTTTTCCCAAAGGTGCGTCTCAGCCGCAACATGTGCCTCCTGCTGACAGCCATCCTGCACTTCATCCAAGGAATGACGGACCCAGTGCTGATGTCGCTCAGCGCCTCGCACGTGTCCTCCTTCCGCCGCCACTTCCCCGTGCTGCTGGTGTCGGCGGCGCTCTTTGTGCTGCCCGTGGTGCTCAGCCATGCCCTCTGGCACCACTACGCCATTAACACCTGGCTCTTCGCCGTCACCGCCTTCTGTGTGGAGCTATGTCTCAAGGTACGGACCTCCCGCTTTTTCCCCCCGCCAGCTGTCACGGGCTCCGATGTGTTTTGTTTTTGTTGCAAGCCAAAATGTCAATTTCAACCTAGCTTCTGAAACACTGCACTACTCAAGTCAAGTGGGAGGGAGGGGAAAAAAAGGCGGGGTGGAATCAGTGGCATTTTGGTTTACCGAACTGGGGAAATTGATTTGATATCAGCTGAACCTCGACTTCTGTCGTAAGTCCATCCCAATCGTAATCCAAACCTTTTCACTTCCCCATTGAAGTGCCACAAGAATTTGATGAAACAAAATGTTACGGCCTTATAAAAATAGAAATTGTACAACATAACATTGAAGGAAAGAAAAAATATATATATTGTGTGATGAGCCGAATGGAGAGTCACAGGCAGGCTGCATGTTTGGCCTGTGAGGGGGAGTGGCTTACTGAGTGACATTGTTAGTCTGGACTCTGGGTTTGTCCTGTTCATGATCCTTGTGAGTATATTCATTTCGTCAGCTTTTCATTTCACTCAGCTGATTATTACCATATTGGCCCGAAGATAAGACGGTGTTTTTTGCATTGAAATAAGACTGAAAAAGTGGGGGTCGTCTTATATTCGGCGTCTAAACATTATCCCCATTCACGACGCTAGATGGCGCCAGATATCAATAAAGCGAATGCTGAACTTGACTCCCAGGCCAAAGTGAACCACTGTCACTAAAAATAGCGGTAGCACGAAGAAGAAAAATAAAAAATAGCGGTACAAAAGAAAAGAGAAGAAAATAATAGAAGAGATAACAGAAAATGGAGAAACGTAGCGACTATCTGGAGAAAAGTGGGTCGAAGATCGGCCAGGTTAACCGGCAGCTGAGAAGAAGTTATGATGTCATTTACATTTTAAAAACCAGAAGCCATTCATTTGCGAATTGATTGCACTTTAGTTTACATATTTAAATGTTCAGATATTAAGATTTGAATGAGACAAAATAACATGCTTTTTCTCTCAAATATATTGTTAGAATCATTTGTTCCAGATGTACTGTAATTATTTTCTGTATAAAATTTGGTGTTCAAAAAGTCTTTTTTCAAACTTGAGTCATGAAAAAGAGGGGGTCGTCTTATAAGAGCCGTCTTATATTCGGGCCAATACGGTATATTGTTATTATATATAATAATATATAATTATATATAATTACAATATCTGTAATTGAAAGTTTGGCTGGCAACACAAAGTAAAAACTTAACCAAGAGCGCAACGGATGAAATGACGGCGTCGCCATTTTCCCGCCGGGACCAGGTGCTGGTGTCGCTGACAGTCTACGGTCTCTTCATGGCGGACGGCTTGTCGGACGTGCTGTGGGAGAAGCTGGACGACTACGTGTACTACGTGCGCTCCACGGGCAACATCATCGAGTTCCTGTTCGGCGTGGTCATGTTCGGCAACGGCGCCTACACCATGATGTTCGAGTCGGGCAGCAAGATCCGCGCCTGCATGATGTGCCTGCATGCCTACTTCAACATCTACCTGCAGGCGCGCAACGGCTGGAAGACCTTCATCAACCGCCGCACCGCCGTCAAGAGGATCAACTCCCTGCCCGAGCTACGCGGCGACCGTCTGCGCCGCATCGAAGACGTCTGCGCCATCTGCTACCAGGAGTTTGCCACCTCGGCGCGCATCACGCCGTGCCACCACTACTTCCACGCACTCTGCCTGCGCAAGTGGCTCTACATCCAGGATAGCTGCCCCATGTGCCACCAGAAAGTCAACGTGGACGACGACGCCCGCGACAGGGACGTCTTCTCCAACAATAACGGGGGCTACGCGCCGCCGCCGCCGGAGGCCCCTGCCGCCCCGCCGCCGGTGGAAAACCCGCCCGCTGACGCCCAGCCTGTCAACAGGGCGGCGCCGGCCGTGGCGGCACCGGGCACATTGGCGGCCGTGGCGGGGGGCCTTCACCACGAGCTGCTGGAGGACAACGACAGCATCGAGTACGACGACGACGACTGGGTTGTGCAAAACGGGGGCACACCTGTCGAGGAAGAGTATATGAACGATGACACAGACTCCACAGATGACTGAGGGTGGGGTGGATTATTTAAATTGACTTTCGCTTCTTCATTGAAGAAGGAGTTAGGGATGATATTCAGTTTCGGGGTTCACCCGAAAAACGTGTGCATGAGATTTGCCTGCTTGCGTGGGGCAAATCCTCCCGGTGATGTTTCCTTGAGCACCATTTGGCGTTGTCCACGTGGCGAATCTTCGTCGTGGTGTGCGCGCGCGGCGACAGCCTCGTTTTGATCAAGAAGGACTCAGTCAACGCGTCCCGCGTTCTCTCTTGTCCAATCAGCGCCGAGCTGAGGCGTCTGATGAGCCGCTCCTGGTCTCTTGTGCGACCGTGCCTCCCATTTTATGTACGTTCTTGTACATGGGACTGATGTGCTGAATCAGCGTCTTTTGCTTCTGATCCCAATTACGTTTGACGGGTTTCTTTCCCCACAATTTAAAAAAAAGCATCAAGGTGGTTCTGGTTGCAACTGGACTCCTATCGGTTTGTTAAAATGTTCCTTTCAGCTTGAGCCCCCCCCC